TTTCTTCTTTATTACATGCTTGCTCAGGTGTGAGACGTAGTTGTTTGACAAGATATTTATACACACTTTTACACTTCACAGAAAGATAGCAATTGTATTATTATAAAAAACAATCCTTGGCACAAGTATAGGACTACAAATACATAATCTCAGGTGACAATGTACGAAACATCAACAGCTGGGTTTCCACCTGGACAGGTAATTTCTTTGTAGTTTTAAGTCATTTCACCTGACATTAAAATTAGCGCACAGGCAATTAGACCTTTGTAATTGACTGCAGACTTGATTAATCTGTTTCGTTCGCACTGGCACTCTTTCATACTGGAATCGGTCTAGTTCATGATTCTAATGGTTTCGTCTTTTTACAAATTTTGTCAATGGCGTTCTGGGTTTGTATTATTTCACATTGGAATGTGTTGTGTAAGAGTTGTCAATGAAACTCATGGCTTTTCTTATGCATTTTTTTCTTCTATTGTCAATATTTCCTGTTCAGGGGAAAAAAAATTGCAGATCTGTTTAACGATCTTTTAAAGTATCTTATCCTGAGAGACAACATGATATTTCCGCTGGTTTGTTCAAAACACTACAATAATAGAATTTTTTTCCTCACTGCTTTCAATTTTAAATCTTAGTGCATCTGACAATATAATTTACATAAGCAAATATTTTACAGACATTAATCTTTTGTATCAAACTTACTATGGGTGGTCGTATTGATTCTGAAGATAAACAGTTTGCATGGTTGATGCAGAAATCATTGCATAATGTTATTAAAAAATTGAACAATCAGGTTGCGGACTGAGTGCTGCATTACCCGCAGTGCAACCTTGAATCTGGATCGTTTCTATGATTGAGTTGTATGGGATTGTGAAATATTTTTAAAAAACTTTTTACTGCTGATTATAAGATTTTTTTAAAATTCCTATCCGTGCAAACACTTCACAGGTTAAATATATTGAAATCTGTTAGAGATTTAAATAATATTATGGTTTCAATGTCAATACCAAGACTCATGAAAAGGTGTATTTAAAATTCCAGATGAATCTTGAGATAGATAAAGTGTAAATAAAGACACTGGATGAGAATTCAGTAGATAGGGTTTACATACTTCTAATGGAGAACTTCAGTAGATTTCTAGATGGGTTGTTTGAAGGTAGGTTTTGTTTACCTCGACACATATTGAAACATTTTTGACACAATTCGCCAAACAGTAGGAGGGGTTTTAATGGGCTATATGAAAAGATGAATTGTTATTTCGTTCTGTGAATTATATCCATGCAGAGTTTTAATTTGTATCTTGAATCTAATCGAGTATTTCATTTTTCGGGTTTCTACAAGTAGATGAGATGAACCTTATCGTATGCACAAGAGGGCAGGGTGTCAATTTCATTTGTGCGTGCTTAATCTTATATTTGATCAGGACTAATTTTTCAAACTAATTTAAAAACGAAACCAAACGTCATCATGATGTACTGATTGTAGGAGTGTTATATTACAAAACATTTTTATCTTTTTTATAAATTGGTTTTATTTAGGGATCTGAACGGTAAGAGTGGTTTAGGAGTGGTGAGAGATTGGGAAGTTAGTTGTTTGTTTTTGGTACAGGAGTGTAAAAGGTTACTCACACAAGAAGATAGCGATGTGACGTATTTACGAATTAAGTCACTTATAGTCGGTGGGACCATTACAAAGCTAGCCATGTGAAAGTGGATCGGAATTGGTATCTAATACTTATTTTAAATTAAAGGATCAGACCTTAAGTACTGTACTAGATCAACTCGGAAAAGTTTGATATAAACTTCCACTGGACCACAGTACAATATCAAATAAACAGGATAGTCAAGTCGTCGGATAATCAAGATCAACTTAAATAGAAATGAATACAACAGGACCCAGTTGAATTAGTGTCCGATTTATACAAAAATGCAGTATATAGGAATATGTTATATGTATAAAGATATCTATAGACTGTTAAAACATGTTGATTTTCATATATATAACAAGTTTCTGGTTTCCCACTGATAACTATACACCTGATTATCCGATGCAAAACCAACGGGGCCATTTCGACTGAGTCACATTAAGGTGTCTGACTGACTGTCTACAATCACTGGCCCACAACCACTGGGTTACAAGTTCGAGTCTTAGGTGGGCAGTTGCCAGGTACTGGCCTTAGGTCCATGTTTTCTTCTCAGGTACGCCTACTTTCCTCCATCACCAAGACCTGGCATGTTCATAGCAGTTAAAAGACGGTAAAACTTGAACCAAATCAAGTATTGTCATAGAAAAAAAGCCTGTCAATATTAATGAGGACCATAATTTTAACTATCACATTAAAAACACTACATCGAAGACATGTAGAGCTCATCAACCTGACCGAAATCAACAGAGCTCCGGAGGTATTGGTCACTGACTATTTTAGAAACCTTGCCTATATATAGCTGTGCGTAAGCTAATTGGTTGAAATGCAATTAAGTTACACCCATTTTCTGAGCCACTTCCTGGGAAATAACATGGTGAGCTATCATGCCTTGTGGAGATTTTAGAAATATGGCCTTTGAAATATGTAGAGGTATATTAATGAATTATGAATACCTAACAGATTTTTTAAAATTTTGATTGGTCGCCTAATATGTAGATGGTTAATTAGCTGGGACTAAGATAAGTTATCTTGTTACGCGTTATAGGAACATAATGATCCCATAATATGATTATCTACAGCAGATAATTACTTTTGTCAATGCTAATATGTTATATTTGTCTAACCGAAATAAGGATACATTTTTTCTCTAACCTTTAAGATAATGAATGTGATTCCCATCTGCCGACAGATATGTATCGTGGGCTACGCTTCCATAGACAACCCACTACTCTCCTTGTTTGATGAAGAAACTTTCGCTGGATGATGTATATATATAAATTGTCTCCCTTTCATGTTGATCAAGATCTTGATAAATCTTCACCTTATTATCCAATATATTTGTATATTTTGATTTATATCTTACTTTTATGATCTGCTCTGCCAGTATCGTTGTGACATGTTCTGATAAAATTTCGGTTAATCTCGTATCGAGATAAACGTAGCGGAGGATTACGACTCTAATAACGTGGGGATTTTTAATGTGCGTAATACAGTAAACTTGGATAAGAAATGTTGACAGGACATAGCGTTACATTGACTAATCACTTATCTGACGACTCTATCTCGGTGTAAACGCACCTGGTGAGGAGTCACTCCAGTACAAAAACAAAATACTTCTGTCTGTCATATATACCACATACCCAGGTCAAATGGACATTAAATATTGTATTTCGTTGGCTATCTTAAGTTGTAAAAATGTGTCATTTCTTCGATAAATGGAGTGTTTGTTTGTCATTTTATAGTCTATGCATAAATTGTCAGAAGGAGGTCATCGGTATCTAATGCTATTAGCTAGATCATTGTGGTTTAAAGTGATACAAAAACCCGAGTCGAACTCATCATTTCATCATGAACTCGACAAAAAAAAAAAAAGTCGTAAAGTTTACAGTGTGTTAAGAAATGATTGATAACATTTTCCTACAGCTGTTTGTTCCACTGACATTCTGTAGATAAATGACTCAAAGTGTTACACTATCTTCATAACGTTTCCATTTTGTGTGTGCATTAAAATGTTGCTACTCTGCACGTTTTTTATGTTGTTACGTTATGTGGTGTGACATTACCTCGTTAGGTAGGGGTGTATCTACATCCAAAATCTCGGTCTGGGTTCCCCTCTTTATAGCATCTGTACCTATTCTAGATGTTTGGATACATAAGTACGTCGAATGCTGTCTGCAGTAGACATAGGGATAGCTACATCTCAACTCAGGACAAGAAAAACTCCATGACATATATATCTTCTGGAATCTTGTTTAGTTAGTGTCATTGGGACTCGTACAATAATTCTATGTACAGGGTATTTCCGATGAAAATAGCATTTACTCTTATTGGACACAAAAGTTTGTAGGTTTTTGTATCAAATAAATGATATTTTCTTTTATAATGGTTGTTTTTTTTGAGGAAAACTAAATAATTATATGACAAGTATTAAATCAAACTTCTTTTTCAGTGTGTATTACAATCAGAATATTCTCCAATTATTGGTACAGAGTCATTCTGTAAATTGAAGTTAAAATATACCAAAATCCTGGGGCAAAATGTTACTGAATGTTTCAGTAATTAATTGTTTCTACAATATATATAGCAATAATTTATGTAATATAGTAATAATTTAAGAAAATTGCTGTTGTTCGAATTTATGGGGCAAATTTATTATTGCCAGAATCTTTGCAGAGGCAAATTGTAGCTTACTGATACCGGTTAATATTATTTCTTTAATTTCATTTCTGTGAAATGTAACAGCACTGCTGACTTACTGAACAGATCAAGGGAGAGCACCCCTGCATGAATACAGCTGTGGGACATTAGTTTGGTGGGCGGAGCATGGGCTTACGACTATTGATGACTAGCTGTAAATATTTGTAGTGCGGAAACTCCCGATATGTGAGGTGTATTGACACACATTCAGGTCGACTGTCACCCCGATCTGTCTTCTCTGTAGGCAGGAGAAAGGATTTGCCCGCTGTGATCTCACTGATAAAGTTTACTCAACTGTACAGCAAGTTTACAAAAAAAAAATTACATTCTGTTGTGGATTTTATCGGGAAATTATTTGAAAACTGAGAGTAAGTGGACGGTATTTGAGAAGTCTCCTGGGACCTACTATAATTATTTTCTGTACTGATATGTGAAATCTTAAATATTTCTCGTGGAAATTAGTTTTTACAGTTAATACGTTTCAAAGGATTGTATTTGTTGAGTGTATTCAGTGTAATGTCAAGTGTTTGATTACATTATCATCGGAGGGACATATCTGTGGAAGTTTATCATAAAGTTGTAAGTTTTGTGATTTGCCCGATGACCCTGTGATACTATCTGTTACACGATATGTTGTTTATACGTCTGTCCATCATTGTAGGGTAAACATCACTTGTAACCGCTCGCCTGTGACAAATCGGTAACATTTCACCGGAGGAAATTTAAATTTGTGGATTCAAAGGAAATACATTTTGCTACCGAAGACTGCGGGGTAAGTGACCTTTATATTTTACATAAAAACGCCGCTATATTTGCGTCTAAAAGCCATTTGTTGTATCACAGAAATCAGTAATGTCGTATTATTGCACTAAGTGCTTGGACTGAGGTCTGTGTAGTATTTTGGAACTGAAAAAATACAATTTTCATCTTAATTTTGTATCCTCACTTCTTTTCCTTTTGTAAAAGAATGATGTATTTTGTAAATTATTTTCTTAGCTGGACAACAATTTTATAGTTTTAGCTTAAGGATTTTAAAAATGATTTTTATATCCTTGCTTCTTAGATATATAGTTTCCTTTTAGTTTAAAAAGTTCTAAAAGGAAACTATCAAAGTCTGCACATGAAATTGTTAGAAATTAAAAATGTGTACAATATTTTTTGTATTTTTTTTTCTCCAATTATTACTTCCAATTTAAACTTGAATATCATATCGTTTCTGAGGCCACAGCTGTGTTGATTTCAATACGTCCAAGTGTCTCTATATATAATTCTTGGGACAGTGCAGATGTACAGAACAGACAATCTGGCGTCTTACTTGAGTTATCTATGAGTCAGTCGGATATATTTCTACGTTCCTACTTGCGATAGAGCGCTAAGCTTGCGTGTAAAGTGTGTACTCATGATCTTATCTTAATTTAGATGTGACTGTAGCATTGTTATAAGTGTCGTACTTTATAAGTCTGTAAATAGAGCGTCTTAAAGTGTATATAATTCATGGTAACTTACCACATAACATTTTTCTCCTTCGTTTTTTTGTTTGCTAAAAATTAAAGAAATTGAATAGAGCAATGAATTTTAGAAGTCTAAAAGTGAATGACATAATCAACAAAAATACATATAGGCGGACAGTGTGAGTTTTCGGAATAGTCGTGATGGTAATTGAGGGTAATTCCTAACAATGTTCAACAGTGTCGTGTATGAATGTTGTAAAAGGTCTAGAATTACGTATTACTAATTCGGTTCTGGCTAATTGGTTCACCCGATATCTTTCTGCTTGACCCATTTTCTGTTGAGGAACTTTTGGTTGAGCTAGGAATTTCGGGTAGGTCCTAAATAGTGGAATAGAAATATCATAGGATTGCGTCAGATGGCGTCTGGTTCGGGACCCAACAATAACTGAAATATTTTGATGAAAGTTTTTACACATGTAAATGTATCACTTACTATTAAGTGGTGTGTCGGATGTACTTCATTTAGGAATGTCGTAACAATTGTCAAGGTCACGATTGTTCTCCATCATGATATAAAATTGAAATAGAATGTCCATGATAAAGAAAATGTATTTTTTTTTTATATATACTTTTCAGAAATATTTCTTGAATCAAACTTATTTTTTTGCCATGATGAAGCAAAGGCAAATTGTCAAAAAAAAATCTGTTATAGTTTTCAAAAATATTTCTTGAATCAAACTTATTTTTGTCCATGATGTAGACAATTTTTAAAATGGTTTTGCTGGTAATAAGTAGAATTTTCACAAATACAGCAGTGCTGCCAATTAAAGTTCAATGTTGAGCTTTTTCCATTGGTGTATAATCTACAGGATAAAATCCTCGTTATGGCTATGATGTACTATATGATCTGTGAAGATTTCCTGTTGTATCCTGTGACTCACTCTGGATAAGGCCATCCCTCCCCTTTGTTCTTCCTCCCCAGGGATACCCCTTTCCTCCCTTACCTTTATGAATTCACAATGAACAGGTAAGATAACCCACCTGTAATCAGTAAAACACAGGTAAGGCATGAAAATGAATCATTTTATAGACAATTTAAAATTCATAGTCTGGTCATTAGATCTAATGGTAATTGATTAGGCCGGGGTATCTGAATAATGTACATTTCAAGAGCGGTACATTTGAATTGCCTGGTGTGTTGATATGGATCCGAGGAATTATTTCTCAAAATCTGAATTACAAATTTTCAGTGTTCCTGTGCATACATTTATTTTTTTCTGGAGTTTCAATCAATATTACCATCTGAGAGAATAACATAGAATTAATAGAAGGCTGATGTGTTTTACAGAAATCGACTATACACAGATCATTCTTTAATTGTTTCAAAAGCATTTGTAAAAAATACTTTAATTTACCTATTTCAGAAGAAAAATTCCAATGTACTTCCTATTTCGAAATAATGAGTTGATTCCCACATTTTAAAGTATATTTTAAAGTCTCATGGTACATTTATGAGTATTTGTGTTGGCCTTGGAGTAGAAAATATATACGATTCCCCTATGCCTCTGTTAAGTTAAAGGGATGTGTGTTGTTTTTTCTGTTTCTCTATGCTTTATTTAAATCATTCACCCCTGAAGACACATTTGAACTCTTCCAATTTAAAGGTTGGAATAGTTCATTATAAAATTTCAGGGGTGAATGAGTTAAATCTACTGTGATTTGCACAGAGGCAGTTTTGAACATAAGTTTCAACATCACATCCATCTAGTATGTTCGACTCGGGTCCTGTCCTCAGATAGACCATTATCTTGGTCAATCTTGTACTCTTAATTCCCAAATGTCTATTTTACTGAAGGATATACTGATCAGCGATTGCTAGGTGACCAGTGCCCTCTGGTGACTGACCGGGTGTCCATACCTACGAAAAGAATATCTTTGTTGCAGATATGATCCATTTCCTGTCCAAATACATTGTACAATGTACTATATTTATAACTCATGGTCTTAATCTTTCTCATAGGAATGTTTTGTAATATACAGGGACCAAATTTCTTGTCTCAAAGGGATTCCCCATAGGATATTTATAAAATAATATGTATTGAATTGGAATTCCCTGTGTGTTGATTGCCTGCTGTGTCTTACAGTGGTCTGACATGCTTAGAAGGTGGTGGTCAGCTTGAATTGACCTTGTTCTGTTGGTCAGTCTGGGACTTGTAAGTAGCCAATCATGGAAAAGGTGATAGTGACCATCACCAGTATCCCACTGAGGGCGAGTGGCTTTAGACTGACCACTGGTCAAATGGTCACTCAGAGTTTAATGCTCACATAGGGTTAATACCAGAGGTCAAATGAGTAGCAAGTTGGTTTGATTATGTAGGAAATTGTGCAGATTATGCCTCTGGAAAGGTTAAATGTTTTGTTAACCACAAAAAAAAAATGTAAACAAATTTTTAAAAGTTGGGGGAGGGGGGTATATATCTACCTTGTAAATTTAAGCAAATGACTTATTACTTCAAATTTTCACTTGATTTTTTTAACAGAAAACATGAAATAGTTCTGCAACAATATATTCTGTGTATCTCGCGCTTGGAACTGAAATTGTTACATTAAATTATAAAAGTTCAAATTCAAAATTCAAAATTTTACTTGCACAATTGTAACTACATAGAAGTTTGAAGGCAAAACAGTGAAGCACAGTGAAATACATACATAGACATGTACATATAGAAAAGTCGCAATATAGCAGAATATAGAAGGTTGTAGTTCTTTGTATTTTTCTCAGATTTTTGAAATAGTCTGTGTAAATTTAGCATGAAAATAAAAATGAATGACTTTAAACTTGTTCAAATGGCGATGAACTGAAATGTGTAGATAATGGTCTGTATGGTAGTAATGTTTTATTATTACCTATAATAAATATAAATTCTGGCGACCAAGTCCTTGGGGGGGGGGGGGGNTTATCCAATGTGTCAAACCTTGTTTAATATTTTATAATGGAGGGATGGTATAGACTTAATACCATTAGTCCTGACCTTACCAGGAAATTGGTGAAATATTATAGCTATGATAAAGAAAAAGAAATATATGATCAAAAATGTTAATCAAATAAAAAACTATCGTCAAATCTATTAGTGTGTTATAAGGCATAATAAATTAAATGCTGAACGAACGTTAGAGGTCGAATTGCTGTATTCTCCCATCCTTACTGTCAACAAACACATCACATCAAATATATAATGTGTGGGGCTCTGTGCAATCTTACGGAGGTCGGAGTAAAAGGATTCTGTAAGTATCTAGTAAGCTTGGATTAGCCAAATGATAGGAGATAGATAATAAGCTAATGATTTTGGCTAATCCTATCATAGTTGGTCTGATCCCCCTCGTGTTAGCCTTCATTGGGTCTGATCCGGAGGCCAGCAGGCATCGTACACAGGTAGTATGGCCATAGTTGTAGAAGAATTTTATCTTACGTTATTAAAATCTAGAGCGATTTGCCCTTCTGAACAGATAAAATAGATAAGAAGGTGAGCTTTGAAGCACTACAATTACTAAGTCTTCTAGGTTTACCTAAAATCTGACATTTATGAGTTATTTCAGTTAAGTATATGATAAACGATACATTGTAAAATTATGTTCTTATTTACTGAATGGGGGACTAGTAGCATGATGTATATTTTGGAAATAAATCTGGTTGGTAATGTTTACAGTAAATTACATTGTTATAGGATGTTCTGAAGAACTTAAGACTTCCGGGTTTTTTTCTTTTCTCAATAAATTACACAAACATTCTGGTTATCAGTTATTCACTTATACTGTATGTATAAGCATAAAAACTAATTTAACAGATTTATGGAAAATAAAAATAAATATGCTTCATGTACTGTTATGCATAGAAAGGAATGCACAAAACATGTTTCTAGCAAGATATTTATTTGAAAATGGTTTAATTATCTTATTTTGAGCATGCAGTTAACTTTTTTCCAATGTGCAAAGTAAAAATATCTTAAAAACTAAAGCTACAAATAATTTTTTTTTCCTATTATTATGATCCTTGAACAAAGTCATTAAATTTTATGTTACATATAGTTCCCCCCACCCCACGCCTACTTCTGCTTCCCCACCAAGAAGTCCAAAATATTTCGCCTTTCTGCCCTCCATTCCTTGGTAAAGTTCAGGAAAGTTCAACGGTTGTTTTGAAAGGAACCAGATTGAAATATACAGGTTGAAATATACATGTGTTTGTAATCAAAACCTGATGTGTCGGTTTCCCTGGAGTATCAGAACAGATAGGTCAAGTGCTCCAGTGCTCTGCTCTTTATTT